ATATATATATATATATATATATATATATATATATATATATATATATATTATAAACTCAGGAAACAAACATGCAACTAGCATAAACTAATTACTAATTACTACCTCTTATTTAAGTCAAATAGCCAAAATAATTATTATAGTATTGAAGCTTCATAAATTGTTTTTTAATAATTCTTTACAAGACAATAAAAAGTGTTAGCGCAGTAAGATATAAACAAATGATTTATTTAAATGCATCCAACATTTTCCCATTACAGACTAATGGAACAAACCAAACTGTACGGCTCGACACACAAAAAGACCAACGTGACCCAGTTCTGGTCCAGAACCAGAGCGTCCTGCTGGCCGCAGGTGTACGAGGGAGACGCCTCGTTGATCTGATCGCGGGGTCAAAGTGCGCGACGGTAAGTGATGTGCAAGTGCTGAGATGGCGGCTGGTTGTCTGTCGCCATGGTAACCGTCTGCTCCAGCTTCCCATCTGGTCGGAGCTGAAAGACCCGAGAAATCTGAGAAGAAAAAAAAAATAATGTAGAGGTGCAGGTGAGGTCGTTGACTCGGCGCTGCAGCGTTTACAGAACTAAACAAGTTCTGCGATGGCAGCTCAGCTGGTTTAGGTTTGTGAGCGACGACGGGTCAGAGGACGACTTTTACCTGCTGCACGTGAGGCTCCTTTGCAAAAGAGATCCGGGCCACGCTTTGAGACTGCAGTTTCAGCTGCTGTCCTGTGAGCTCTCCCTCTTCGATATCCACCAGACCTGCACAACAACATGACACTTACTCATATAGGCTAAGATCTCCTTTTAAAAAATGGTGTTTGTGATCTAAAAAAAAAAAAAAGCACCTGCTTGTGATAGGTTTAAAGACAAAACTCATAATTCATACGATGACTGACTAAAAGAAAAAAAAACTGGACAAAAGTGATTTTTCTATGGTTTCCCTTTGTTTTTATACTCTAGAGCTGATTGACACGTCATATTTCTTGTAGGGAACTTATAAAAACAAAAGGATTGAATTGTTTTAGCAGCATCATTCAAAGCTTTGATCAAATCAGCAGAACCTTCCAGAAACTCAGGAGCTGATAACAGGAACCAGCTCGTATTAGCAGCTTGAGGTCTACCTGTGTTCTGTGCATTGATCAGGGCCACTTTGTTGGTCCCTTGCTGGATTCGAATGAAGCCACATTCTCTGTGCATCGGCTTGTTGGTCTCTGCATGAAACGCATTGAACCTGCAGAAAAAAAACAAACAGCTCAGAGAAGGATTTTTTTTTGTTCCACTTTATTTTTAAAACTGGTTGGTTATTTAAATAACGTCTCGTCCTAGTTTACTTGGTTTTCTGCGGGGTGAGCCTACATGTAATTGATGACGGGCTGCCCCACGTGGCTGAAGTGCAGCTGTTCTGTGTAGCGGAAAGGTTTAATGGTGGGGAAGGTGCCCTCTCCAGGTTCATCACACTCCCAGCTTCCCAGCAGCCAATTCAGAGGCAGGAGGACTGGGTTCAGCTCCACAGGTGCTAAATAACAAACACACACATAGGCTTTATTTTTAGACAAAGGCAAACATTTTATTATAGGCAGTTACATTTATTTTACAATCCAGAAAACATGATGTTGAATCACAGTTACATTTGAAGTAATTTATTTTTAAGCTAATATTAGAAAAATCTCCAGAACTATTTCTAGGTTTATTCACATTTTTAAGTCTAAACAAGGACTGAGTCTGTGACGTATTATCACCATATACAAAGCAAAAGTTAAATTTGATGAAACACTGCTTCATGTATTGCTAATAAAAATATCAGTGAATTCAGTTAGTTAATGGCTACATTGTAACAAACTGGAGACTTTATTTTGTGTAAAAGCATAAGGTTATGGTTTTATATGATTCAAATAATACAGAAAAAAAAACCTTGGAATAAATGACTAAAAGGGACAATTTGATGAGAGTACATCACAATCATGTCCAGAAGATGGCAGTGATGTAGCATAATGATGGCAGCAGCAGACATGAGCAGCCACAGGAAGCTGGATAAGATCCTCATAATAATCATGAGGGTCTGAGCTCAAACACTATAAATGATCAATTATGTCCTGGACAGTCTGTCAACACAAGCAGTAAAACCGTCACATCAATAGTAATTATGTACTCTAAATTTGAGGGTAAGCTGTAATGTATAAAAATCAGTGAAGAATAAACGAACAACAAAAAAGAATAGTCACAATAAAATGCAGGAAGGATAAAATCTGCAGTGAATTGGTCTCCAGCTACAAGTACTTGGGTGTACACCTGAACGACAGCCTCCGCTGGGGCAACAACACCACCAGCCTGATCAAGAAAGCTCATCAGAGACTCTACTTCCTCAGGCGGCTGAGAGGAGCTGGTCTGGGAAGCTCAGTCCTCCTACAGGTGTGCACGGGGACTGCACCGCTGGAGAGAGAGAAGCTCTGCAGAGTTCGGCTGCACAGAAGTCTGTTGGAGTCAGCCTCGCCACCATCACAGACATCTACACCTCCAGATGCAGGAAGAGAGCCACCTGCATCATGAAGGACCCCACTCACCCAGCACACACACTTTTTGCCCCGCTCCCCTCAGGCAGGAGGTTGAGGAGCATTAAGTGTAGAACCACTCGACTGAGGAACAGCTTCTACCCTGAAGCTGTTAGACTCATGAATCCCTAACCAGAATACCCACTGTAATGACACTTTGTGCTGCTGATTATACACGCTGCTGATTTCTTACCCATAAGCTGCTACAGTCATACCCATCAACAGACTCATGTTCCGGCTGCTGTTTAATACACTTTATTATATTATATTATTATTGTTTAGCATATATCTTAGATCCTTGCATACTGTGTGTTTTTAAATAGTTTTTTATAGTTTATATTTTGCTATTTTTAGGTGTAGCTAGGACCTTGAGTACACAATTTCGTTCCACCTCATGTACCACATGTGAAGTGAATGACAATAATGTCACCCTGAACCTTGAAAATAAGAAATAAAGTGACCAAAACAGAGCTTTAGAATAAGGGTACATTAACAATTTGATGAATAAAGCACCTGTTTGGTCTGTGTAAAATTGGTCAACATCCAGAAACTGTCAGAACATGTAATTATTACTTAAATCAAACAACCCATGTCATTTTTTACATACTAATATGAAAGAGTGAGGGTTGCGCCGCTTCCAGCAGGTGGCGGTATGGAGCTAGTTTTAGGATGAGAGCTGCTGCTTGAGCTCAAAGAAGAAGAAGACCTTAATGGAAAAAATACCTTTTTATGCAACAGCATTGCAGGTAGAATGACCCACAGGAGACAAGGATAAACGTAAATAAAACTAAAAAGTAAATACAGCTTTCATTGGCAATGAGTTAGCCCTTGTCCTGTGACTCGCACAAGCAGAAAAGTAGTCAATATATTGTTTGTTCGTTGATGATTATAGAAGTCTTACAGGAGCGGAAGTTGTACGTAAAACGAAGGGCAAGCTGAGTTTAGGTCACCTCTGAACAAATCCAAAATGAGAATAAATTACTAAGGAAAGCGACAGATTTATTATACTGTACCACCATTATATTTCACGTGAACGAAAAACAACTAAGAAAGTCGTATAATCTTATTATAATTTCAAATTACATGTGTCACCTACCAGTGCTGTCAGCTGGACAAGCCATTGATAGAGCGAAGCCGAAAAACAACAAGAAGAACAAAATGAAAGTCAACAACAAACACTCTGCTTGAACCGCGCGAATCCTATGTACGGTAACGCCCCTAACGCCGCGTGGACTTCTGGGAAGTGTAGTCTACACCGTCCTGATCTTCCAAGTACGTTCAAAGAGAAATGTATAAACAAGACCAAAACTTTGTATTTTTTTCTGTTCCTGAACACACGAGTGTTGTTTCATAAATTAAGGAAAACTTTATTGACATTTTTTATTACACTCAGCATGTCAACATCTGCAGCTTCACAAGAACAAAGGCCTTCCAAAACCCCTGCAGTAAAAAAAGGCCAGGGATCCAAGATTGCATGCACAGTTCCACTGTTTTCCACGTGGAAGAACCATTATTCTTAATGTACACTTTTTTATAATGAATAATGGATCTGAGTCGGGATATGAGCTCTTAGGCCTTGCTCTTTTTACAGTTTTTGAGAGCATCATCCAGGGCGTGCAGTGCCATATCAGCGTTGGTCTTCTCACAGTTATATCCCATTAAGCCGATCCTCATCACCTAAATAAAAGAGGGGGGGGAAACAGAGTGCTTCAGCAGTATAGATCAAAACATACCATAGCTATCAGATTCAGGATGTTGCTCTTGTTTAAGTGTTGTCAGTTTGAACATTTAATCTTTTAAGTGTTTATATAGAAATATATTTGGTGTAGATATGAATTGTTTCATCATAAGACTCAGGGTCATATCTAAATACATCAGTTCATTCTCTCAAACTGAATCTCATCCTGTTTCAGATGTTTACTGTTCGGGGCTGAACTCTCATGATCTACTGACCATGCCGATGGAAGGGCCCAGTCCTCCTGTCATCTCCATCTGGTGGTGTTTCATGATGTAGGTTAGCATCTCCCTCCAGTCGTAGCCTTCAGGAATGAATATGGTGGTGACGGAGGGAAGTCTCAAGTCCTGCAGGAGACACAGCTCAAAGTTACGGTCTGTGGTCACAACATCAAACCACAAGACAAGAACGCTGCCACAAGGAGCCCAGCTTCAGCACAATGAGGTGAATGTGTTTGACAAATACAAATTCACATGTTTTTTTAATAACATCAGTTTAACTGCGTGTCTTTCCACTTCAAAAATATAGATTTTTATACAGATGTTATGGTAGTAAAAGGGTGTTATTTATCTGTGCATTACCCTTTCAGGGATGAAGAGCTTGAGGCCCAGATCTTCCAGCCCTCTGTAAAGGTAGGCTGCCACCTCTTTGTGTTTCTTCCAGGACTCCTCCAGCCCCTGGATGGAGATATAGAAAAGTCATGTTAGGGGATGCATCTCTGCAAACATTTGAAAAAGTAAAGCTCTTAAAAAAATTCTAAATGAACAAAATCACCAGTTGTAAAAAAAAAAAAAAAAAAAAGGCAGACCTGACAACAGTTTATAGTCATGGGTCAAGACTAATTTATCACATTTTTTATGTAAAAAAAACAGAGTTTGTTATAAAAGAAGAGTCAGCTCACCATGAAAGAAGTCTTAGTGATACAATACTTTATGGTAAATGTATAAATCTCCCAGTTTAAAGGAAAATTTATTTAAAAAAAAATGCTGCAGTTACAATGAATCTTTTAAATAGGTCAAGATTCCAATATCACGTGTGCAAAATTAACACTTTCCAGGTTATAAACTGGTCAAATAATCAATTTGTTGTTTATGTTTGACAAGTTTTGCTGGTTTTGACCGTCTTAAATTTGCTTTCTTCTCCATGCAGCTCAAAGTTGTGCCCAAAAACTTTAGACTGCTGTAATGAAACCTTAACCTTTAAACTGACCACATGTAGGATAACTTAAATACATAAAAAATGTAGTTAATTATTATTTTTTTAATTAAAACATTTTTTTACCTTCTCAGCAAGAATTGCTAGGCTCTCTCTCAGTGCAAAGAATCCAGATACAGGACCAGTATGATGATATCTAAAACCCATGGCACATGGATGTATTATATATTTTATATTTAGGTATTGACTATTAACTGTTTCTTGCACAACAACATATATTTAATTGTCACAAATAGTTAAAACAATCAGAGGACTCACCCTCTGACCGCTTGCCCATCACAGCCCCAGTAATTGGACAAGTGAGTCATATCAAAGAGGTATGATACTGGTTTTGTTTTCCTGTTGAACATCTTGTGACTGCAGGGGACAGAAGGAATCTGTGGTTTTAATAACTTCAAACTCTTGTCGGAGTTTATAACAAGATAGTGCAGAGACTTCTCTTACCATGCTCTGTCACTGAAAGAGATGGGTGCTGTGCCTGGAGGTGCATTCAGAGCCTTTTGAGAACCAGTGTACAGGATGTCGATTTCTTCAAACACACAAAACAAGGTAGTTACGTGCCTGCAGGGAGCAGAGATAATTAGTTCATTTGTAATTTTCCTACTTTGTTCGTCCATAAAAATGGGTGCTGCTCCAAGTGAGGCAACTGTGTCAACCAGGAAGAGGCAGTTGTGTCTGTGGAAGATGGGATAGTGAGTATCATCATAGATTCATCATAGATTTCAGTTTGGAGCAGGGAGCTTACTTTCGGCAGATGTCTCCGATGCCATCCACAGGGTGACAGAGACCTGCTGAAGACTCGCCGTGTGCAAGGAAAAACAAGACCGGTTTGTGTTTTTCTATAGCCTGAAAACAAACACATTTGTTCTTGTTACCTGCTGCAACTGAGTTTCACTTTGGTGTTTAAATTAAAAGTTTGGATGTGTTTTTAAACATAATGGTGCCAACCTGTTCAATTTCTTTGTTGGTAAAATATCCTCCGGGTGCTTTCTCCAATCTATGTACATTGGCACCTAGAAGAAGAACAAAACGGTCATATTTATCTATAAATATAAAAATTATTGATCAAATATGTTGTTACAGAGGGTTATGAACTTGCAGTGTTTTGTTCATTTTGATGAGCCAGGACGTGCGTGCGTAAAAATCGTGCGTAAAAACCTACCCATTCTCTCTGCAATTTCAGCCACACGCTCTCCCCAGATGCCGTTGATGGAGATGAGGACGCTCTCTCTGGGTTCCACCGTGTTGAACACCGCGCACTCCATGGCTGCGTGTCCGGAGCCGCTCATAGCTATGGTCATGTTGTTTTTTGTCTGAAAGGCGTACTGGATCCCCTTTTTGATGTCGTTCATTATCTGTGACACGCAGTGAAAACGTGCAATAAGTATCCAGTTAGATTTAGTGCTGATTGGAAATTAAATGGTTTCACTGTGCGCAGCGCTGGCTTATGCGTAATTACGCACGGAACATTTCTGCTTTGACAGTACAATTTTCACTAAAACATGTTACAAGAGACGTCATAAGAAGTAAAATGAGCCTGCATGCTCAGAGTTTAGTAGAATGTGTTAGTCTAACTGAGTTTCAGAGCAGTTACCTGATACATTTCTGGATGCAAGTGGCCAATGATCGGCCTAGATCCAGAAGCTAAAACACGCGGTGGAACATTTGATGGTCCCGGTCCGAACAGATAACGGAAGGGCACTTCTAGCGGTCGGAGCATGCACGCGGGCGGCGGGATGGTGACTGAGGACATGGAGCGGTCCAGACGCAGCAGCAGCGGCGCGCACCTCGCAGCCAGCGGGCCGTCGAGAGCAGCTGCAGTCCGGTGAGCGAGCAACGCGCTCCGGCGGAACAAAGCTCGCTGCATCCCGGTTGGTGTCCTGTTCCTGTGAGGCCTGCTGGGAGGGTGATGTCACCTCTCACAGACTGAGGCTGAAAGTGGATTTGGGCGAAAATTTAAAACAAACAGGTCTTTGACCTGGCGGGCAAGGTTGGCGTGCGTCACTTTGCGCAACAAGGTGCATCATGATTAGAAGAACAGAGTCTCTTTGCAGACTTTTATTAATGTTGTGGGGTTTATAAATGAAATTTTCACTTTCTGGAACAATTTTATATTTTCTTACATCTTGGACCTGGAAACGTATTCCTTAATTTATGTCAAACTACAAAGGAAAAATACAATCAATAACGCAACAACGTTAATTCAGATCCTCGTCCAGAGGATCTGAATTAACTTAGATTAATTTTTTTACCTGGAATATTGAGCATGAACTTTGATACCCTGAATGACATTTTTGTTTAGGGTTGTTGTGACACACAGTGTGTGTTTGATAGTTTAATTTCTGTCAGATCCATCTGTTCTTGACCAACATATGGCTTTAGTTTTTGTGGCACATTTTGGTTTCAGTCTTCTTGGATCTTGTGGGAAAAAGATATTGCACTTGGCAGCTTGGAACCAGTTGAAGTCCGTTTGAGGTGACTTGTTGATTTAGTCGCCCCTTCAGTAAGAGCAGAGGAGGCTCCTCTGGGAGAGCCAATCTGCTCTCTCAGTGGAAACACACACAACCCATTTAAAGACAAAACCAAAGATACTAGGTCTGTTTTGCATGAAGGTACACAAATTTTCACACACATAAAATCAAGCCTTTATTTTCACTGTTTTAATTTTATATGAAAAGTGTTGGGAAAAAAATTATAACTGAACATTATTTGTGTTTCTTATTGTTCACATACATTCTGAGAAAGGCCCCGTCTATGTGTGGCTGAGTAAATAATTACACAGAAAGTAAATAAGTGAGACTGATTAAAGGACAACCCTCACATTTCTAAACTGAGGAGAACAGAAAGAAACAAACTGTCTTTTTGAAGAGGAAAAAAATATATATTTGTTTAAATATCATTATATTTGTACCCAGTATAACATTTAAAACATCAATTTATATAGCAAGGACAAATACAGTTGTTTGCATTGTGCATATGGTTTTATAATTCTGAATGTGATTGCAAACACAGTTCTGTGCAAAAGTTTTAGACTATATCTAAACATTGTCTTTGAACTCAACATGACTATGAATAAATTATTGAAATTATGTGTTTGCTTAGTCTGTTTTTCTGAGCTAATTGGGGGGACAACTTCCTACGATGATGTTTTCACATATTGTGCTTCTGTGCAAAAGCTTTAAAACTTTTAATTCAAGAACCCAGATTTATTATCAAATCTTTCAACAGGTGTTGATGAATAATTCTTCAAGTTTTTTTTTGTTTTTAGATTTATTTGGACTTTATTTCCACTTGTTTTCAGTCCATATCTGGCCATTTTCTAAAACTTTATTTTTATTTATTACATTTTATTTATATTTTTTACATAGCCTTTTAGCTTTGACCTGTTCAGGCCTCCCAAGCTCAATAAAATTAATCATAGTTGAGTCTACAAAGACAACATCAACAAAAATCTCCATAAAATCATCGGTCATAAACAAATAAAAGTAAACATAATGGGATAAATAATAAAACAACAACAAAAACAATTAGGAAAAAAGATGAAATGCCAAATACAAGCTGGCACTATAAATGTAAACCTTTTTATAAAATGCTCTGCCATTTGCGATTATGATCAAACTTTGAAGACATTCACTTTAGAGTCCATCACGTTTGTCTTTATGACATATGGTCCACTCCTCTTTGTTTTAAACTTTGACAGAAGTTGGAGAACTTTATTAACTAACTACATTTTCAGGACTGTGAGGACAGCTGGGAATGCTCTGCGCCAAACAAGTTCAGAGAAGGATGTTTATTTGCTTCTTAAACATAAAAACCAAACTAACCCACAATAAATAAATATTAAACAATTAAGCTAAAAGTTGTGAATGTCAGAACAATGGTGCAAAAAGGTCAAGAAGAATAAAATAAAATATTATAAAATGTTGCATAAAAGACATAAAGAGTCATTTTACTCTTAACTCAAGTGATGCAGATGGATATTGATTGATTATTGTGTCATAAGCTCTCAGAAATCGGTTTCTCAGATCACACCATTGGTTGGTTCTCTAACTATCTCTCAGACCGGAGGCAATGTGTTCAATATAATGGTACTTCCTCCAGTTATTTAACAGTCAACAATGGTGTACCACAAGGCTCAGTCTTAGGACACACCCTCTTTACAATCTACATACATAATGTAGGTCTAAACATCCCTGATGCATCCATACATTTCTTTGCTGATGACAGTTTTTTTATTGTCGAGCTAAAACTGTTGCTAAGGCTTTCCAGCTTTTGAAATCTGCATTCAACCATCATCCAGACAGATTTGTTCCACCTCAAACTTATCTTAAATGTCGACAAAACCAAAGGGATGCTTTTTTCAAATAGGAAGTTGGTCCCAGCAGTTCTTCCTCTGATTTTATCCTCAAATGGTGTCCCCATTGAGTTTGTTGACTCCTATAAATATTTGGGTATCTTGGTCGACTCGCATCTCTCTTTTAAGCTCCATGTGTAAAACTTGTTAAAGAAACTGAAAGTTAAACTGGGTTTCTTTTTCAGAAACAGATCCTGTCAAACTCTGAATGCTAGGAAATGCCTTGTATCTGTGACTTTCCTTCCCTCCATTGATTACGGTGACATTATTTACATGAACGCTCCTACAAGAACCCTGCAGATGTTGGATGCTGTCTATCATGGTGCACTAAGATTCATAACTGGCTGTGATTATCGTACCCATCATTGCACCCTGTATTCACTGGTTAACTGGACATCATTAACTTCACGCAGACTCTCTCACTGGTACATTTTCATCTTTAACTCACTTCTTGGTCTGCTGCCTTCATACATCTCCTCCTACATGTCTCTGCGTGAGTGCAGTTACAGCGTGTGCTCTAAGGACATTATTACCTGCAGTATTCTCTCTTCTCCTACTCCGCTCCTGTTTCCTGGAATATCTTACAAAAAGATCTGAATCTCTCAACCTTGACCTCTCTAAGTGGCTTTAAGAATCTGTTGGACTCCTGGCACGGACCAATGCAGAAATGTTCCTGTTTTTAGTTTTCTACATTCGCCTTATAATCGAGCTGTTTTTTTTGTTGTTACTTTTCTTTTTTTAGCCTTCCTATTTGTAAAAAAAAAAAAAAAAAAAAGTATGACTTTTTATAACTGTCTCTTGTTGTCGCTGTTGTCCGCTGTCATCATTCTTTGTAGAAATCAGGTCTCTCTTGTGAATGAGTCCTCGAGGCTCAATGGGATTAACCTGTCTAAATAAAGGTTGAATGAACGAATGATATAAAATGCAGGAAAAGGTGAACAATGACCACAAAGGAGGAAAAAAGCCCCGAACATAAAACATGATGAGCTTCATGAGTCAAAAACATGTAATGTGAAAAATGACACAAAGGAGTCAGAAAAAGAAAAAGGGAAAACAACAACAACAACAACATAAAAACGAGAAAAAGAGAACCAAATTGTAGAACGTTTTAAAAAAGTACAAGATGTAGTCTGGAGTAGGTTCAGATCAGTCACAGATGGCAAATTTCGAACTAATAAATAAATAAATAAATAAATCTGTACATAAATTATAAAACAAAATTCTTTAATAATCCAGAGGGTCTCTCTCCTCATCCCCCCCCCCCCCCCCCCCGCTTTCTCTCTCCTCTCCTGGCTGCTGATGCTGAAGTTGACGTCATCAACCCCTCCCAGCATCCCCTGGCAAAGCTACGCCGCCATTTTCACCACTGTCAGACCGATCGACAGTCAAGTCTTCTGTGTTTATCCACTGACTCCCCCTCCTCTTGTCTCCCCCCCCCCCCCCCCCCCAAACCCCCCCCCCCACCCGTGTGACGCACGTGCCCAGCTCTCAGCCCACCCGGCGCTGCTGCTGCTGCTGAGGCTGACTTCCTCTCCCTGTTTCCCGGCGGATTCTCCGTGTAAGGATGCGCTGCGAGAAGTGATGCTGTAGGTGCGCCAAAACCAGCAAACACAGGAGAACCAACAAGGAGACGCCGGGAGGACCAGTTTCTTTCTTTCTTTCTTTCTGAATGGACCGAATATTCATTTTGTGGTCGCGTCTGAGCCGCTGAGGTAAGACTGATGGATGTGTTTTATATTTATATTTATATTTGTATTTTTCCATTGGATAGACGCTGCGTCAGGACTCAGTATATCACATTATAAACACATAAACGTCGCAGTGACGTCATTAATTAAACACATGCTCATAAAACGTGTACATTTAGGCTATAATGTTCTAATTTTCCGCACATCTGCGCGCTGAGCTCCCCTCTGACGCAGTGGAGGCTGACTCCGCGTCTCTGTTTACGCGGCCTGTTGTTTGAGGTGCGGCAGGCGGCGCAAGATGGAGACGACAGGATGTCTCAGTGAAACAGCATTCTGACTCAGATCAGACATCCATGTTCTGTAAATGTCTGCCACTGCTTCTTGTCTGTTGTATGTATGGTCGTTTGAGGAGAGGATGGTGGGGTTTGAAGCAAATGTACAAAGATTAGTTAATGTCTGGGCAGAGAAAACAAATAAACAAGCAAAGAAAAACGATAACATTCATTTTCAAGGGATGAGAGTTTGAAGATGAGGCTGTGATGAGGGTTGGACAATGTTACAGAGCAGAATGGAGGATGTGGGATGTTTTCTTGTTTCACTACAAGGCCTGGATGCTGGCTGAGGAGTGGGCGGCCATTTTATTGTAGAATAACAGGGATGCTGATCCTCCTGCCAAATAATGACCCGTCCATTTAAACAGAATGATTTAGGAGCTGTGTGGAGCACAGAGACCGTTTTTGAATAACCTAAGCTTCTTTTATTAAAAAAAGAAGGAGGAAATTAAAGACTTTGCATCCCTTGAAGGAATGCTGCCACATCATTTTATGTTGAGAAATGATGGAGTTGTAGCCGTTTTTGTCAAATTGTAAATGACATGATGCACTCATGCCATTATGTGAGATCTTGAGAAACATGTCAGCTCTCAGAGTGTGTGTTGTGGATGACTCTCAGCTACCACCAGACCAAATTTTAGCTCAGTGTTTGTAAACTTGTTTTCCCTAAAGCTTGATTGAGTAGGTTGACCCCAAATGGTGATGAGTTGTAGATGTACATCCAGTCATTACATCCTGAAAGTTTCATTAAAATCCATCTTGGTGTTCATGAGATATTTTGCTAACAGGCAGGCAGTGATTATAACAATGCCAACGTTTTAAGCAATGTTGCACAGTGTGTAGCGTTCAGAGTATGTGTTGAGGATCACTTTCAGCTACTACACCAAATATTAGCTCAATATCTGTAAAGTTTGAGTTAAAAACACGTATTCATGGGTAATGTTGATTAGCTGTGGCAGCCATTTTGGATTGGGTTGCTTCCAAAAGTTAATCAAATATAAATGGACACCCAATGATTACTTTCTTATAGTTATGATACAATCTATGCAATAATCCATGAGATATTTTGCTAACAGACAAGCACAGTGGGCTCTAATAGTTACTGGCAATGTTTTAAAAACAAATCTCACGAGATCAGTGTTCAGACTGTGTGTTGTGAATGACTCTCAGCTACCAACTGTTAGTTCAAAAGCTGAGTTGTAACCATTTTAGAGATATTTTGCTAACAATACACACAGCCACAAATATCCAACGCGGCGGGTGGTAATAATAAACAAGAGCTGAGCTTCAGGCGTTCACATGTAATTCCTGCTGTCGTCTACCTGTGCAGGAGCCAGGTGTGTGTGTCTGTAGCCACGCGGATCTCCAGCGTTTCTGCTCACTCACCTGCGACATGGCCGGGGCGTCGGTGAAGGTGGCCGTACGGGTCCGACCCTTCAACTCCAGGGAGATCGGGAAGGAGAGCAAGTGCATCATCCAGATGTCTGGAAACACGACGAGTGAGTATGAGCTCAGCTGGGCGCTTCTCGGAGCCCTCACAGGGAAATGACTCATTATGGATTAAGTCAGGTGGACGGTTAATGTTAGCATTAAGTTTAAATTATATAACTGAGGCGTTGCATACGGTGCTGTGCATGGTTTAGTTTAATATATAGATGATATTTTGGGGGGGCAAAATTAAAATTTTCTAGTTTTACTCACAGCACAGTCAAGAAAACATGTCCAGTTTACCCAACTGTTGTTATAAACTAATTGCAGTGGGTGGTTGAGACATAAAACTTTTAAGTGCAAGAACAATTTTTTTTTTTGACTTTTTGGTAAAAGGAGCAACAACCTGTGTCTTGCAGATGGTGAAACTAAAATATTTCCATCCTTAAAATTTTTAATCTTAGTGATGATCCTAATAAGATTTTTTTAAGGTACCTACCGGACACAAATTATATATAATTTCCTTTTAGTTAATTAAAAGCTAATACAAAAGTCTGAAGGTCTAAAAGGTTTGAAAGAACAAATGCATTAGAATTTGAAAAATTAGAAAGAGTTATTCATTTTGTTCTGTTACTTGAAAATTATTATGATTGAAATAATTGTTTGAAAAAAGGGGCAGATATAATAAGATTTTTTTCTTCTTTATGCTGCCTTTCATTTTAAATCTCTTGTATCTTTTTTTATATTGTTATGGAATTGTTTTGTACTTTTTTAAAATGAATAAACTTTATATCATACCAAAGAACAAATGGACTCAAACTGTTTGATTTAACACCATTAGATCAAAAAGATGGAGACAAATGCAGCTCGACACATCAAACGTGTTCATTTGTTTGCGTTTTTGTTTATAAAACCAATAAAATATTGTTGGGGACGAAATCAATATCTAACTGTTACAGTTAATTTCCAAGTGATTATGGGCATTATAAATGAGCCATAATGCAAAATATTTCTCTTGTAAATTCACAACTATTCAGCCTCAGATTATATCAGGCGTTTTATGCCGTTAACATGGTAAATTATTTAAAATCAGCGTCAACAGATATGTTTTCTGTCCACTGTCAGTCAGAACATGTTTAAATGTGAACAGCTAAGACAACATGATACAACGCTCACATAACAGAGTGAAGCATTTATGCTTTAATATCCCATTTGTGCCTTTAGAGCACAAACCCCAGAAAACTGCATGTGCCGTTGCTGCTTTCATTACATTCCTCTGACCTACATTGAGCCAGCTTCGTCGTTTCACCTGAACAATTTGTCTCGACTGCAGCTTTGCCCTGCAGCAACACCAACTGTGGGCAGCGAGGTTTGGAGCCTCTTGGCAGCTCAACAAAAAATGAAACAAAAGCTTCAGTCAGTGTGCGCATGAAGGAGCGACTGCCTCAGCTCTCCTCTGTCATCATATGTGCTGCCGCGGCTCAAAAAGGCCTTGTTGTTCTGGCCCGGTCCACGCTCAGGGTCAGCTGATCCAAATGTGGGTGTGTGTGAAAGAGAACGTGTCGTCCAATTGTAACGTTTGATAAACTTCCAAGATTTGGACGTTCATTTTGACTTTTTGTTTTTGCTGCAAGCGCTTCCAGCTGAAACATTTGTCAGTTTTTTGGAGATGGTTATTTAAAACGTGTCCACAGAGGTTGTTATGGTGGGTCTGGTTTTCAGTGCTTGAGTCACAATGAGCACACAAAACATCTTCAGAAAGTTTTAGTGTGTTTAAAACTCTTCTGTCGATTGTTTCTGAGAGCCCTGAGGCTGCAGCGGTCTCACAGGGTCGGGACTGTTCGAGACCAGTTTTCAACTCAAAACTGTGAGAAAATTTCCCTTTTTTTGTTTCAGTCTCTGTTAATTCTGATTGTTTGCATCATTCAGTCAGTGTGGTGTGCAGCCATGTTTAGAGCATCCAATAATTTTTGAAAGTTGCTGCTTAAATGCCGTGTGTTCGGCTTTCAAAATGTTAATTAGTTGCTCACACTACGGCAGCTGCCCCCACATTTGTAATCTAATCCAGGGGTTCCCAACCCTGGTCCTTGAGGAACACCATCCTGCATGTTTTAGTTGTTTTTCTGCTCTGACACACCTGATTTTAATAACTGGGTGTTTTACAAGCTTCTGCAGAACACGAGGAAGTAATTAAATTACTGAATCAGGTGTGTCGGAGCAAGAAACAACTAAAACATACAGGATGGTGTTCCTCAAGGACCAGGGTTGGGAACCACTGGGCTTGAGAAATAAAAACAGATAATTTGAATCTAACAAATTAAAGTCCGATCCTCTGGACTGTTTCTTTTCTTCTCACATAGTGGGTCAACCAGTTTGATGGTCACCATCAAACTGGTTGGCCCACTATGTGAGTATGCTACTTATAAGACTGAGTTTGTTGTGGCTCCTCAGACTGATGAAGTCTTTTGGATGAAAGACAAATTGTTTCAACAAAAAGAAACCATCCAGAGGGCCTGACTTAACTTGTGTTGGATTTTTTTACCTGGATTATTGAGCATGAACTTTGATAATTGGAATCAGTTTTTCCATAATTATTGATTTCAAGTGTGTTTTTTAGATTCAGATATTTCTGTCAGAGGAGAGCTCCTAGTCCACGGGTGTCCAAAGTGTGGCCCGAGGGCCATTCGTGGCCCTCGGAGTGATTTTTGTGTGGCCCACAACTGTAGTTTAAAGAATGGTATCATTTTGTTCCAGCAGGTTTAAGAGATTAGACTTTCTGCATATTAGTTGGTAATCCTTTTTATATAATGTTTAGATTTAACAGGAAAATGGATGAAAAACTTTCTTCTCAAAATGAACAATATTAAACAAAATACAAACCTTTGGCTATAATCTTTATATTTTTACTTCATGGTACAAATCACCAAAACCCTTTACTGATTTCTACCAGAAAGGAGAATTTTTGGATAAGGATTCATAAAACTTGTCTAAATATTGCAGTTGATAAAATAATCAAGAGGGAAATAAGACATTTTTAAATGAATATAACGTGGTATCATCTGCATACGAGTTGATCAACTTTATCAAACCTTCTATGAATCTGTTGTAGAGACTGACAGCTGGACGATTTTTCAAAATTTCTATCAGTCTTTTGGGCCGTCCATGGTCCAAAAGACTGATCAACATTCTTTTAAATGGACACTTACTCAAACTAGGCTTTTGTTGCTGAGAACAGATTAAAATGAACTTTACAAACACAAGAAAACAACAATCATAAACCCAATCAAATCAAATAAGTTTTAATAAAAACTATAAGCTTAGTGTTTAAGGCTTTTAATGTTAATTTTAACAGCAATTTTAAACTCACAAACAAATAACTCAAACAAATATAGCTCTAGAGACGGGTTAGAGACACCCACTGCAACCCCGTAACTATTTTGGTTTAAAAAATGTAACGCATGGAACAGGTTTGTAATTCAACAACAAGACTATGCATTTCTGTGACTCCAGCAACGGAATTAAGAACCCTCCTGATAATGTTTTAAGACATTTTATAGACTCCCCATTAAAAATCAGTTCACCGGTTAGTCGCTAACGTTCACAATTGAATGAGATGCTCCCTTTACTGATTATGTATCTCAGATTCCATAAAGCAAACTTACAAACAAGCAAAAATAACAATGTTGGCCTTTCAGAAAAGGAATAAAGCATTCAGTCTGGTAGCTCAGATTCATGTTTTTGTCTTTTGTCTCAATGGATCCAAAGTATAAACTAAAGCTGGTGCCATGAAAAGTAGAAAAACATTTTGTTGTTCTGTTTGTTTTATTAGAGCTAAAACTAGAATACTCTCAGGTTGTTAGTGTCTGACCCCAGTTTTTTTTTTTCTGTTTGTGTTTTTTGGTTTTGTGTTGTGCCCTCCTGTGGTTTTGGACTTTGACTTGACCTGCCCACGTGTTGCCAAATGCTTTGACGGCATCCCCGTTTTAAACCTTGACCTGGAATAAATGTTTGTGTTTTGGGACTGTACATATGTTCTCCGTGCGTACATCAGGCTCCTCCTCACTTACAAACTGTTTTGAGGGGGATAGAAGTTGGGAGAGATTATTCTATTTGAGCACATAGAGTCAAAATAAAACCAACATGAGACCTGGGTGTAGAAACACAAAATGGCAACGCTAGTTTTTACGTTTTAAGGAGCTGCAAAAGAGTCTCAAAAAGACAAAAGTTGTGTAAATTTAGATTTTTAATGACTGTTTATTTGCTGGTTATGTAAGATAAAAATACAAATGAAAAAAAAAAAAGAGTTATTTGAGTTAATCAGCTTTATTTGGTTCTCATGAATGTATTCTGGTGTTTTTAGCTATCCTGAACCCAAAACAACCGAAAGAAAACAAGAGCTTCAATTTTGACTACTCATACTGGTCACACACCTCGGTGAGTTGAGCCGCTTTCCGTAAATCCACGGCAGAAAGTTTGAAAAAGAAAACACCTCACATTAATCGATGGCCAATTGATCAACCTGTTTAGACCTCTTCACCCCATTTGTTTTTAATATCTTCATTAATATTTCTTTGTGTCTGTATTTGTCCCCTGCACTTTGTCTGCAGCCTGAGGACATCAACTATGCGTCTCAGATGCAAGTGTACAGAGACATCGGAGAGGAGATGCTGCTTCACGCCTTTGAAGGCTACAACGTGTGCATATTTGCATATGGCCAGACAGGAGCGGGCAAAAGCTACACCATGATGGGCCGACAGGAAAAAGACCAGCAGGGGATTATACCTTTGGTAAAACAACCGCAGCGTACACTTCTGAAATACCTCAAAACAATAAATATTTAATGTAATTTTATTTTATTCTTGTCTCAAACTGAAAAAAAAATACATAACTGTCCATGTTTTGTATCATTTGCCAGCTGTGTGAGGATCTGTTCACCAAGATTAATGACAGCAATAATGACAACAGCATGTCTTACTCTGTGGAGGTGAGTCACACCAAACTAATAACCTTTTTATGTTTAATATTTTTATATGTTTTAAGCTCTCCTTCTGATGTGACTCATAACCTTTCTTAATTTGTAACAAACGCATCAGCTCTAATGTTACTATCATGATCTGTCGTAGTTTGAACCCGAATGCACGCAGGACTCGGAGGGTTCAGTAATTAAATAAAAGGTTTTCATTAAACACAACAAAAATGGCTGACATGGCAGCAAAACTTACATATAGAGAGGATCATGGGAGGAGCAGGAGCAGAGCATGACACCACGAAGGATAATCCTCGGACATGGGAACAACAACCAAACGCAGAATAAAAAGACACACTAATGAGGGAATAAACACCAACACCTAGGACTACAGGTGGCAGACTGTTGCCAGGTATACAGCTATTATTGTATTTAAATTATAGTTTCAAAGTCAACACAATATACATAAGTTTTATTGTATAGTTTAAGCATTTTCGTGCAACAAATCTTTTCTTTTGAGTCACATAGACACCAAGATATTATCAGAAAGGCAAATCACAACACACACCTCATTCTAACCCGCCCACAAATAGTTCAAATACGATCACGTTAAAGTGGTAGTACGATATTTCATTTTGTCTTTCTTTCTAATTATCTGGCAACCCTGGTGGCAGAGAAGGAACTGATTACGTGAGGGAGACACACACAAGGGAACACAATCCTTACAGTTAGTAGCATGTCATCAGCATAAAAACAAATCTTCAGAGGTTTTAAGAAAAATCACTCGTAAGTTTCTGTTCGAATACAACAGAATTAAAATACCTGAGCTCCCTTTATAGCAGCTTTCCTTGCAACAAATTTTAGTGGACACAAGGATTCTTTAGACTCCGCCCCTTTCTTCTGTGGAGTGTGTGTTTTTGGAGACGGTTAAACTGAAACAAATGAAATAAAGATTTAACCTTAGATTATATTTTTCAGTATTTATCTCACATTAGCACACACTGCAAACTGAGCTCAAAGTAACACTCTAGTCATAGTATTGTGTTTATTTTAGCTTTTCTTGGCAGTATATTTTATCAAACACAGAAAAAGCTAGATTTTGAACCGTGTTGTTTTCACATACATTTGATTAAATCAAGACTAAATCTATTTTTCTCCTTTCAAATTGTGAAAACCCAGTCATTTACTTATAAATGTTAATTTTTTCCCTTTATATTCAACTCTTTTTTCCCGTTCTCAGGTGAGTTACATGGAGATCTACTGTGAGCGCGTGCGTGACCTGCTGAACCCCAAAAACAAGGGGAACCTGCGTGTCAGAGAGCACCCGCTGTTGGGACCCTACGTCGAAGACCTGTCCAAACTGGCCGTCACCTCCTACAACGACATCCAGGACCTGATGGATTCTGGAAACAAGGCCAGGTAACATGTCAAGGCTGAAGCAGAGACTCAACCATGCACACGAACAGATCATTTACCTGAGAGCGGGAAAGCTGATGGATGTTGGAAGTAACTGAAAATACATGAACATATTTCAGGACTGTGGCTGCCACCAACATGAACGAGACCAGCAGCCGCTCCCACGCTGTCTTCAACATCATCTTCACACAGAAGAAACACGACATGGAGACAGACAACACATCCGAGAAGGTTCAGCTCTAAGAAAAGTTTAGCAGCAATAATACCGTATTTTTCTGACTATAGGGCGCAATACCAATGAACGGGTCTGTTTTCATACATAAGGCGCACCGGATTATAAGGCTTACTGCCGATTTTTGAGAAAATTTAAGGATTTTAAGTGCGCCTTATAGTCTGAAAAATACGGTAAAATAAACGTCATATTTCAGTAATGATTAAAAAAAAGTACTTAATGCTTTTCTGTCACCCATTGAGTGCTTTCAAATGTTTTCTTTCTTAGCTGAGGTAAAAGTAAAATCTTTAAAAACTGTTTATTATAGTTGAGTTTCTTTTATTTTGACAGGTCAGCAAGATAAGTCTGGTTGACTTGGCTGGGAGTGAGAGGGCCGACTCAACTGGAGCTAAAGGGACGAGGTTGAAGGTGGGAGTTTATTTTAATTTAAAGAGTACCATAAATTCAATCTGTACCTACAAATACTTTGTACATATAACATACTAGATGATTGAAAGGATGACTGATCTTTATTTGTATGTATTTGCAGGAGGGAGCAAACATCAACAAATCTCTTACCACACTGGGGAAAGTTATTTCTGCTTTAGCTGAACTGGTAGGATTTCTAGTGTGTGTGTGTGTGTGTGTGTGTGTGTATATATATATATATATATATATATATATATATATATATATATATATGTATGTACATGCTTATTTCTTCCATCAAATAATGTGCATTTACAATTTTATTTAATTTCTCAGGACTCTGCACCTAATAAGGTTAGTAGTACCTTCTGTATGTATGAATGAATATATTTCCGAATTTACAGGCATAAGCATGACACTGTCATTTACAGAAATTTTAAAAACTAGCTGAATTGTTTTAATTGTTCTTTTATTGTTTGTTTGCATTTTTGTAAACAGAATAAGAAAAAGAAGAAGGTGGAGAGTTTTATTCCCTACAGAGATTCGGTTCTGACCTGGCTTCTGAGGGAAAATTTAGGTTTGCAAGCAGAATGACGTTTAATTTATTTCTTTTTTGCTCATTTTTAATGTATTTCTGTCTAATGCAGTGTTTTAATCTCTGTGTTTTAGGAGGAAACTCTCGCACAGCCATGGTAGCTGCTCTCAGCCCTGCAGATATCAACTACGATGAAACCCTCAGTACTCTTCGGTAGGAAAGTGTCTTAAATTCTAATTTTAGAGATCATTAAATAAGACGAATGGTAATGAACTGTCTCACGCCAAAGGTTAAACTTGATTCTTGAAAGTATTTTTAAGCTTTTCAGTTGTTTCTTGGGTATTATATATATATATACAGATTAAAAGAGAAACTGATTTCTTCTGATGTTTTCTGCATATATCTGCTGACCTTTCTGCACCCAATCACCTGCAGCTGAGCTTGACAGTTTGTCTGTGAGGTAAAGTCAATGGCCTCTGTTACTGCAGGTACGCCGATCGAGCGAAACAGATCCGCTGTAACGCCGTGATCAACGAGGACCCCAACAACCGCCTGGTCCGCGAGCTGAAAGAGGAGGTGGCTCGCCTCAAAGACCTGCTGTACGCTCAGGGACTCGGAGACATCATAGAGAGTGAGTGTCATGTGAAAACACAAATCAGAGAAAACAGTCTGAGCTGAGAGCCTGTGTGCAGTTGTTTTCACGTCTTTTCACTAAATGTTGAGGAATAACTAACAAAGTGTCTGTCTGACACACACGGTCTCCTCTCTCCTCTGTCCTATCAGCGTATCGCTGCACCGATCCGGTCATCACTGGTTTGAAATGTGCGTTTCACTTGAACGAGCCTGCGCTTTGCAACCAAAAAGTATTTTTCTCTACCACACCAGAGACAAACTTCAAGTCCTGAGTAAAGTGATCTGATGGAAACATGAATAAGATACAGTGATTATTAAACTTCCATCTTGTATTTGGAAAAAATAGCCTTTTTTGTTTCCATTTGTCGACACAATTGCAAAAGTTTTAACCCTCTTTGTCAATTTTTTTGTTATTTTAAGCACAGCAGCTAAGGAAGAAAGATGAGCTGATGTCTAAAGGACACAACTTTACAGATTGGACTTAATCTTGTTTTTCAATGTGCAAAGCAGCCGTTTAGAGCAGGGGTCTGCAACCCGCGGCTCTAGGGCCACATGTGGCTCTTTGGTCCCTCATTGGTGGCTCTTTGAAGCTTTCACCAAGACTTAATTAAATTTAATTGTACAGTAGTCCCTCGCTACTTTGCGATTCGTGAATCGCGGACTCGCTCTGTCGCGATTTTTCAAAATAAGATTGAACATGACACACAATTGGCTGATTGATGGATGAGCCGCACGGTCAGCATGCAATTTTTATTTAAAATAAATGATTTAAAATTATTTATCACCTCCTGCACCTTTGTGCAGCCCATACTGCAAACTTCCTGCTACAGCTGATCATCTGTTCACCATGCACAGTGGAGAAGTGGGCGTGGCCAAGAGCACTTGCAGGTGGCCAAGAGCAGAGGAGGCGGGGAACTGAAATCATGACATTCTGTGCTCTTTTAGATCATTTAGAGTTTTGAAACATTGTTTAGAATATTGCAAGAGTGTGCAAATTGTTTAAAACACACACATATATATATATATATATATATATATATAT